GGAAGAGGTGTGTGTGTGTGTGTGTGTGTGTGTGTTTAGCTTCACATATTAGGCAAGCACTTTCACTGAGCTATACCCCCAGATTCCCAGTTTTTCTTTTTCCTTTTCGGGGGCTGGCCTGAAACACACAACTCCGCTGCCCCAGCTGGATGTGAGCCCGCTTCAGCTCCTTTCATTATTACCACTTTACTTGATTTTCTAGTAAAATAAAACGTATGTTGATCAACTTTACTTATTTTGGTTTTTCAAGACAGGATTTCTAGGTGTAACAGCCCTGGCTGTCTTGGAACTTGCTTTGTAGACCAGAATGACTTCAAACTCACAGAGATCCACCTGCGTCTGGGATTAAAGATTTACACCACCAAACCAGGCTGCCTATTTGTTTTTTTTTTTGTTTGTTTGTTTGTTTGTTTTTTTGTTTTTTTGTTTTTTCGAGACAGGGTTTCTCTGTGGCTTTGGAGGCTGTCCTGGAACTAGCTCTTATAGACCAGGCTGGTCTCGAACTCTCAAAGATCCGCCTGCTTCTGCCTCCCGAGTGCTGGGATTAAAGGCATGCACCACCAATGCCCGGCGCCTATTTGTTTTCTAACAAAGACAGAAAGGGAGTGGATCATATGGGAGGGGAGGTGGGGAGGAACTGGAAAGAGTAGAGGTAGGGGAAACCATAACCCAGATATGTTACTCTAGAAAAAAAAAAACACCTATTTTCATTATCCAGATATGTTACTCTAGAAAAAAAAACACCTATTTTCATTATCCAGATATGTTACTCTAGAAAAAAAACACCTATTTTCATTATCCAGATGCGTTACTCTAGGAAAAAAACACCTATTTTCATTATCCAGATATGTTACTCTAGAAAAAAAAACACCTATTTTCATTATAATACTTTTTGTTTTGTGTTTGTTTTGTTTGTTTGTTTGTTTTTGAGACAGGTTTTCTCTGTAGATTTGGAACCTGTCCTAGAACTTGCTCTGTAGACCACGCTGGCCTCTAACTCACAGAGACCTGCCTGTCTCTGCCTCCTGAGTGCTAGGATTAAAGGCATTAGCCACCAACGCCGGTCTGTTTCCATCATAAGGAAAAGAGAAAAAAAAACGTATTAAAGATGAGAGATTGGGGCTGTTGGGATCTAGAACGCAGAACGGTGATCTTGTAGATGTTGACCTGGGCTCTGGGGAAACTCGGGACTTGGAGGAGTCTTGCTAGACCTCAAAAGCAGAAGACAGAGGGAACTTGACAGGGGCAGGCGTGCTGGACAGAGGGTGGGGCTGGCACAGTAAGGTTCACTACAGGTCAGAGGGACTTCAGTGAATTGATTTGTTTCAGGAATGGAGCAGGAACGGCAATATAGTTCAGCAGCAGGCTGGCAGAAACTCAGATTACTGGAGCTGAGAGGCCATGGTACTTGGGTTCCGCACACTGGAAATCGAAAGGATCTTTTCAGCCAGCTAGAACTTAGTTCAAACCTCAACCTTCTCCCAAGTGATTATTACTAGACTGTCCAGGTAAGAGAAAAAAACATTTCCAGAGTTGTTGGGGTCAGAGCCTGGACCGCAGGAGCCTTAACATGCTAATCTATTCACCTGTCCTCAGGAGACAAGAGTGAAAAGCAAATAAATAAGATATATCCAATGTGGCCACATTGGGAAGAGGAACAATGAGGTCAAGGGATTTCCTCAAGTTTATCTTTGGGGTCCTGGAATGAAGTTTAGGTGTAAAAAGAAGGAGAGATCTGTATAAATAAGCAATCCTGCCCATCGCTAACCCATCGGTGTGTGGGTTCCAGCCACTCCCGAAAGGTGGTCTGATGTGTCGTCAGAACTGTGTGAAATCTCCTGGGGAGACAAGCTCCTTCCCTGGCTATACCAGGCCTCTTCCTTCTCCCAGCATGAAGTTCCTGGGGAAATCCCCATATTATTTTTTAAATGTAGCTTTTATTATCATTCAGGTACACGAAGGTAACCGATCAGGGCACAAATGCCCTGGAAAAGATAGTTTGTGATTTGCAGGAACTAAAAAGAAGGGACAGGCAACACAACCCAGAGGCAAATGGGAAAGTCCCTGAGTCAGCCTTGAGGAAGGAGGGATGAAGAGAAAGCTCAGCAAAGCTTTTACTGAGTTTTCAGGGCAGGAAAGGGAGAGGCCAGGTGAACTGGTCAAGCAGGTTGAGTTGCTAGCCTGAGTGACTGCCACAGAGTGCTCCAGTTAAGGCAGCCGTCAGGAGAGTGGTACCTGGCTCTGCAGAGATTGGGGCAAGGAGCATTGCCTCAGGGAGAAAGAGATCAGTAACTGGGGTACCTGAATGGGTTTGGGATTGCTTGCTTTGCATATGAAAGACCCCCTCAGGATGTAGTCATTTGCAATCTCTCAGACACTTAGAGCATCCTGGTCACCTCTCTCAGGCCATCAAAGGCCCACAAAGTTAAAATAAAAAGAAAGAAAAGAAAAAGAAAAAGTTTCCAATACACACAATTAAAAATAAATACTTAAGGTCGGGCGGTCAGTGGTGGCACACGCCTTTAATCCCAGCACTTGGGAGGCAGAGCCAGCCTGGTCTATAGAGTGAATTGCAGGACAGTCAGAGCTACTACACAGAGAAACCCTGTCTCAAATAAATAAATAAATAAATAAATAAATAAATAAATAAATAAATAAATATTTAAAAGACCCTGAAGCCTGCTTTTGGAATCAGCTCAGTCCATGCACACCAGGTGTCCACACACACAACCAAAACCCCAAAACAACAACAACAAAACTGTGAAGTTTTGAATGAACTGAGATGTTTTTATTAACATTGCATTGTATGTATGTGTCATTTTGGGGAGAACGAACATTTTGATGTCTTTCAGTTGGTGAAAATAAAACACCCTCTCTCTTTTTTTTTTTAGTTGAGGGAGTCAACTAAATTTTACAAGTGTGAGTGTCTTGCCTCCATGTATATGTATGTGTGACACCTGTATGCCTGACTCCCGCAGAGGACAGAAGGCTTCAGATCCCATAGAGCTGGAGTTATAAGCGGTTTCAAACCACCATGTGGATGCTAGGAACCAAACCTGGGTCTTCAGCAAGAGCAGTTGTTGTGCCTGGCTTGTTTATGGAATACTGTGCCTTTCCAAGGCCCCCTGTTCTGTCTGCAATAGATCTGCCTTCTTGTCACGACTCTCTCTTTAAATCTGTCTGTTTGCTACAAAGCTAGAATCAGAAATTACACTCTGGTTCTGCCTTTTACTCTTATCCAGTGCTGTTTGATATATCTGCTTGTCTCTATACATGTGATTTAAATTTAACTTTATAAAGTCAAGCTACTGTTTAAAAATATAAGCTAACTCTATATGCAACTTAAATTTAACTATGATGTAGCTTCAAATGATGGTAAACACTTAAAAGTTATAAAGCTCTATTTCAAATTAACAGAATATGTATACCACCCAGTCCTTCTGTAAGCTGCTTACAAAGGTAAAGCTTCTATTACAAAAGGAGATTTTTCTCTAGTCCCTATGCACTTAGGGAAAGTCACTAAAGATAAATTTTGTCTACTGAGATACACTACACAGACAGACCTCAAATGCTCAAAGATCTAGAGAACATTCTGTAACAAACAGTCCTGGATGTTCTGAAACTCACAGAGGTCCTCCTACCTATGCCTCCTGAGCGCTGAGATTAAAGATGTTCACCATCCCCAGCCAGCAACAATTTAAATTTGTATTACATCTATCTATCTATCTATCTATCTATCTATCTATCTATCTATCTATCCATCCATCATCCATCTATCTATGTCTATTTACCCATCATCCATCCATCTATCTCTGTGTGTGCGTGTGTGCGTGTGCGCATGCATGTGCTCATGTGGAGACTGGAGGGTAACTCAAAGTCTCCAGGCTTGCCTTTATTTGTTGAGCCATCTTAGCAGCCCTGATTGAATTTCTGAATGATAAGTAAATTCTTATTCCTGGAATAGATGCGATTTATTAAACATTATTTTCTTTCCATAAAGAACTGAATTCAGGGGGCTGAAGAGATGGCTCAGAGGTTAAGAGCACTCACTGACTGCAGCGCTCGGGAGGCAGAGGCAGATGGATCTCTGTGAGTTCGAGGCCAGCCTGGTCTACAGAGCGAGTTCCAGGACAGCTTCCAAGACAATACAGAGAAACCCTGTCTCGAAAAAAAAAAAAAAAAAAAAAAGAGCACTGACTGCTCTTCCATAGGTTCAATTCCCAGCAACCACATGGTGGCTCACAACCATTTACAATTTAATCTGGTGCCCTCTTCTGGCATGTAGGCATAACACTGTATATGTAATAAATAAATAAACTTTGAAAAACAAAAGAACTGAATTCAGGTTGGGCATTGGTGGCACACGTCTTTAATCCCAGCACTAGGGAGGCAGAGGCAGGCGGATCTCTGTGAGTTCAAGACCAGCCTAGTCTACAAGAGCTAGTTCCAGGACAGCCTCCAAAGCCACAGAGAAACCCTGTCTCGAAAAATAAAAAACAACAACAACAAAAAAACTGAATTCAGAATATTTTAGATAGTTGCATTTATGGTAATGAAAACACCAGTCTTTCTTTGCTTTTTATATGTTTTTATTGTTTTATTGTTTTGATTTTTCAGGACAGGGTTTTCCTTTGGAGCCCTGGCTGTCCTGGCACTAGCTCTGTAGACCAAGCTGTCCTTGAAATCCGAGATCTGCCTGCCTCTGCCTTCTGAGTACTGGGATTAAAACTGTGAGCTACCACACCCAATTTTTCTTTCTTTCCTTCCTTTCTTCCTTTTTAATTCTTCTCTCATGTATTCCATACTGACCACGGTTTCCCCTCCCTCCTCTCCTTCCAGTCCCTCTCCATCACATCCCCTCTCCCTCAGTTCCTCTCCTTTTCTTTCAGTTATTATAAGACTAGGCACACGCCCTCATATTAAGGCTGGAGGAGGTAACCCAGGAGAAGGAAACAGGTCCCAAGAGCAGGCAAGAATCAGAGATGGCCCCTGCTCCCACTAAAAACACTTGATGAATTTGCATGTCATCTTTGCACAAGGGCCATGTTATTCTCCTCTGAATCATTCCAATTTTAGAATATATGTGCTGCTGTACTGAGCACAGTGTCCTTTTTTAAGATTTATTTATTATGAATCCACCCTTCTGCTGCATATAAGAAACATACCTTGGGCCGGGCGTTGGTGGCACACGCCTTTAATCCCAGCACTTGGGAGGCAGAGGCAGGTGGATTTCTGTGAGTTCGAGGCCAGCCTGGTCTACAAGAGCTAGTTCCAGGACAGCCTCCAAAGCCACAGAGAAACCCTGTCTCGAAAAACCAAAAAAAAAAAAGGAAAAAAAAAAGAAGAAGAAGAAGAAGAAGAAGAAAAAAAAAGAAACATACCTCGGGCTGGAGAGATGACTCAGAGGTTAAGCTCACGGGCTGTTCTTCCAGAGGTCCTGAGTTCAATTCCCAGCAACCACATGGTGGCTTACAACCATCTATAATGAGATCTGGTGCCTGCTTCTGGCCTGCAGGCATACATGCAGGTAGAACACTGTATACATAATACATAAATCTTTTTTTTTTTTTTTTTGGTTTTTCGAGACAGGGTTTCTCTGTGGCTTTGGAGGCTGTCCTGGAACTCGCTCTGTAGACCAGGCTGGCCTCGAACTCACAGAGATATGCCTGCCTCTGCCTCCCGAGTGCTGGGATTAAAGGCGTGCGCCACCAAACACACACACACACACACACACACACACACACACACACACACACCTCAAACTCACAGACAGACATTACCTCAGAGTAAAGGGTTGGGAAAAAATTTTCCAATCAAATGGGCACAACAAACAAGTTGGTGTAGCTACCTTATATCTAACAAAATAGACTTGAAACTAAAATCAATCAAAAGAAAATAAAGAAGGGCATTTCATATTCATCCCAGGAAAAAAATCCATCAAGAGGAAATCTCAATTCTGAGCATCTATGCTCCAAACACAAGGGCTCCTACGATTGTAAAAAAAGAAATTACTAAAGCTTGAATCACAAATAAAGGGGGCTGGAGAGATGGCTCAGAGGTTAAGAGCGCTGTTTGCTCTTCCAGAGGTTGTGAGTTCAATTCCCAGCAACCACATGGTGGCTCACAACCATCCGTAATGCGGCCTGGTGTCCTCTTCTGGCCTGGGCAGAACACTGTATACATAGTAAATAAATAATTAAAAAAGAAAAAAGAAAAAAAGGTAAAAATTTAAAAAAAATCACAAATAAAACTCTACACCCTAACAGAGGGAGACTTCAACACCCCACTCTCAACATTGGGCAGATCTGCCAGACAGAAGCTTACCAGAGAAATAAGGGAATGAACAGAGGTTATGACTCAATTGGACTTAAGAGACATATATAGAACATTCCACCCAAACACAAAAGAAAATACTTTGCTTTCAGCACCTCAAGGAACCTTCTCAAAAACAGACTACATACTCAGTAACAAAGCAAACCTCAACAGATACAAAAAAAAAATTGGATTAAACCCCTGTACCGTATCAGATCACCACAGCTTAAAGTTAGAATTCAACAGCAACATTCATTTCAGAAAGCCACAAACACATGGAAATTGAACAATGACCAACTGAACCACCACTGGGTCAAGGATGAAATAAAGAAAGAAATAAAAGACTTCCTAAAATTTAATGAAAGTGACTTCACAATATACCCAAACGTATGGGACACAGTGAAAGCAGTGCTGAGAGGAAAGTTCATAGCACTAAATGTCTACTTAAAGAAGCTGGAAAATCCCACACTAGTGAATTAACAGAACAACTGAAAGCGATAGAACAAAAAGAAGCAAACTCACCCAGAAGGAGTATGCGGGAAGAAATAGTCAAACTGAGGGCTGAACTCAATAAAATAGAAACAAAGAAAACAATGCAAAGAATCAATTGGTTTTGAGAAATTCAACAAAATAGACAAACCTTTATCCAGACTAACCAAAAGACAGAGAGAGAATGTCCAAATTAACAAAATCAGAAATGAAAAGCAGGACATAACAACAGACACTGAGGAAATCCAGAGAATCATCAGGTCATACTTCCAAAACCTGTACTCCACAAAATTGGAAAACATTAAGGAGATGGACATTTTCTAGATAAGTACCATGTGCCATAATTCAATCAAGAACAGATAAACAATTTAAATACACCTATAGCCCCTAAGGAAATAGAAACCGTTATCAATAGTCTCTCAACCAGAAAAGCCCAGGCCCAGATGGATTCAGTGCAGAATTCTACCAGATGTTCAAAGAAGATCTAATACCAATACTCTTCAATCAAATTATTCCACACAATAGAAACAGAAGGAACATTGCCAAACTCTTTTTGTTTGTTGGTTTGGTTTTTTGAGAGAGGGTTTCTCTGTGACTTTGGAGGCTGCCCCGGAACTTACTTTTGTAGACCAGACTGGTCTTGAACTCAGAGAGATCTACCTGCCTCTGCCTCAAGAGTGCTGGGATTAAAGGCGTACACCACCAATGCCCAGCTGCCACCAAACTCTTTTCATGAGACTACAATTACCTTGATACCCAAACCACACAAAGATACAACTAAGAAAGAGAATTACAGACTAATTTCCCTCATGAACTTAGATGCAAATATACTTAATAAAATACTGTCAAACCAATTTCAAGAACACATCAGAAAAATCATCCACCATGACCAAGTAGGATTCATCCCAGAGATGCAGGGATGGTTCAACATATGAAAATCTGTCAATGTAATCCACCATATAAACAAACTGAAAGAAAAAAAGAGCCACATGATTATCTCACTAGATGCTGAAAAAGCCTTCAACAAAATTCAACACCCCTTCATGATAAAGGTCTTGAAGAGAATGGGGATACAAGGAACATACCTAACATAATAAAGGCAATAGACAGTAACCCAACAACCAACATCAAACTAAATGGAGAGAAACCCAAAGCAATCCTATTGAAATCAGGAACAAGACAAGGCTGTTCACTCTCTCCATATCTATTCAACATAGTACTCGAAGTTCTAGCTATAGCAATAAGGCAACAAAAAGAGATCAAAGGGATACAAATTGGAAAAAAGAAGTCAAACTCACGTTATTTGCTGATGATATGATATGATGATAAGTGACCCCAAAAATTCTACCAGAGAATGCCTACAACTGATAAATACCTTCAGTAATGTAGCAGGATACAAGATTAACTTAAAAAAAAATCAGTAGCCTTCCTATATAAAGATGACAAACAGGCTGAGAAAGAAATCAGAGAAACATCACCCTTCACAATAGCCACAAATAACATAAAATATCATGGGATAACTCTAACCAAACAAGCAAAAGACCTGTATGACACAAATTTTAAGTTTTTAAAGAAAGAAACTAAAGAATATATCAGAAAATGGAAAGATCTCCCATGTTCTTGGATAGGTAGGATCAACAGTAAAAATGGCAATCTTGCTAAAAGCAATCTACAGATTCAAAGCAATCCTCATTAAAATCCCAGCACAATTCTTCACAGACCCTGAAAGAGCAATATTCAACTTCATATGGGAAAACAATAAACCCAGGATAACCAAAACAATCCTGTACAATAAAGGATCATCTGTGGGCATCACCATTCCTGACTTCAAGCTCTACTATAGAGCTATAGCAATGAAAACAGCTTGGTATTGGCATAAAAACAGACAGGAGGACCAATGGAATCAAATCAAAGACCCTGATATCAACCTACACACCTTTGAACACCTAATGTTTGACAAAGAAGCTAAAAATACAAAATGAAAAAAAGAAAATATATTCAACAATTGGTGCTGGTATAACTGGCTGTCAACATGTAGAAGAATGCAAATAGATCCATGTCTATCACCAAGCACAAACTCAAGCCCAAATGATTCAAAGACCTCAATATAAATCCATCCACACTGAACCCCATAAAAGAGAAAGTGGGAAATTCATTTAAACACATAAGCACAGGAGACAACTTCCTAAATAGAACACCAGTAGCACAGACTCTGAGAGCAACAATTAATAAATGGGGCCTCCTAAAACCGAGAAGCTTCTGTAAAGCAAAGAACACGGTCAGCGAGACAAAACAGCTCCCTACAGAATTGGAAAAGATCTTCACCAACTTCACATCTGACAGAGGGCTGATCTCCAAAATATACAAAGAACTCAAGAAGCTAGACATCAAACTACGAAATAATCCAATTAAAAAATGAGGTATAAATCTAAACAGAGAATTCTCAACAGAACAATCTCAAATGGCAGAAAGACATTTAAGGAAATGCTCAACGTTCTTAGTCATCAGGGAAATGCAAATCAAAACCACTCTGAGATACCATCTTACACTGATCAGAATGGCTAAGATCAAAAAGATCAATGCCAGTTTATGCTAGAGAGGATGTGGAGAAAGGGGAACACTCCTCCATTGCTGGTGGGAATGTAAACTTGTACACTCGCTGTGAAAATCAGTATGGTGATTTCTCAACATTAGGGATCAACCTATCTCAAGACCCTGAAATACTACTGTTGAGCATATACCCAAAGGAGGCACATTCACACCACAAGGACATTTGCTCAGCTATGTTCACAGCAACATTATTTGTAATAACCAGATCTTGGAAACAGCATAGATGTTCCTCGACTGAAAAATGGATAAAGAAAATTTGGTATATTTACCCTTGGAGTGCTACTCAGCAGTAAGAAACAATGACATCCTAAAATTCTCAGGCAAATGGGCAGAACTACAAAAAAAAATAATTCTAAGTGAGGTAACCCAAAACCAGAAAGACAAATATAGTATGTACTCACTCATAAGTGGATATCAGACATAAAGCAAAAGGTACCAGCCTATAATCCACAACACCAGAGAAGCTTGAACACTCTTCCAGAAACAGATGGAAGCAGATGCAGAAATCCACAACTAACCAATGGGCCAAGCTCCTGACAATCGAAGTGAGGGTGGATTGATAATATGAACAAAGGAGTCAAGACCATGATGGGGAAACCCACAGAATCAGCTGACCCGAGCTAGTGAGAGATCATTGACTCAGGTCTGACAAATGGGGATCCTGCATAAGACCAAACTAGACTCCTTTAAT